AGTTCAAATCCTTCCTCTGTTACTTACTAGTTGGGTGACCTTGAGTAAATCAGGATGCTTCTCTAAAAAACTAACATAATAGTCCCGATACTAAGGGGTTATTGAAAGAATAAAGTGAATTAATAAGTGCAAATGACTCAGCTAAATAAGTAGTAGCTACCACTACTATTATTATTACTATAATTACCACCATCATTATTAAGACTCCTTGGTTTTCCTTGTTTTCTGAAAGGCTTCCCAGTATAATAATTGGGACAATATTTGAAAATCAACAAGACATCTTTTGACCTCAATTGTAGACAGATCCATCTTTTGGTCTGTGTCAGGAATTACCATATGTTACTCAGTCTTACTTTGAGCACTGACTTTTTTTTTTTACTGAATGTTAATGTCAGATGAACACCCACCCTTCCCTACCAAAAATCCCTCAAGCACCAACCTACTGAAAGTTGGCCTATCTTTTCCAAGGGTGATATTTCTGTGCCTGGTTAACTTCCCTTTAGCTTCCAACATGAGCCAATTGGCTTTAATCATAGGATGTTATCCAAAGAGATTGGCCAGATTATGGGTAGTAATAGAGATAATTACCAAGGAGAAACAAGGAAAAAATAAATGAATCTTCCATCTCAGGGAGAAATAAATGGCTTTATTATGGGGTCAGGAGGGATGATCCTAAAATTCCCTGTCTGAGGGAAAATGCATAATGGTAGTTTGGGAGTTGGAGAATTTGGCAGCAAAAACAGCCATGGATCAAAACAGCTTTTAAGGGCCAACCTCAGGAGACTGCATATCTATAAAAGGAATGAGATGTTTTTTCTTTATGCTGCAGAAAATGCAGAATCAGAGCTGATTGGGCAGCTAGCTCATCTGTCATTGTTTGCAAAGGACAAGGAGAAAAATGATGTTCTACTATATTAGTGCGATAGGCAAAAATCTCTCCAAGTTTTCTCATACTGATTTGGGAAAGCCTCAGGAAGAAGGATGGGCCTTGATGTATAACCTTGCTCAAAATGAGATTATCTGGAGTCATTTGTGTAAAATTGGGTTAAATGAGAGTCTTTGTTTATATCTGAGCTCCATTTCCCCTTCTTCCAAATGCACTCAGGCCAACAATATAAAGTACTGCTTGCCCCAAATGGCATTCTAGAACAAGCTGATGACGTGAGTGGCCTCACACCACAGGGCACTGCGCAAGTCTGCACAGACCGTCCCCAGGAGTGCTGGTCAGCAAGTGTCCCACAGGCCTCATTCGTGCCTCACATAAAGCTGACCGTGAACACTCCGTAAATCCTGGTGAAGGGGACTCCAAGAAAGGCTCCGGTGGAAATGACACAAATACTGTAAGATGTATTTTCCTTTTACACTGAAAATCCTCTCATCCACAGCCTTATTTTAGAACTACTTGAAGTTCTCAGCAATAGTCAATGCAACATTTTTCCTCCCTTGACTGCCTACCTTCTTACGTATTTAAATGCATGCTTTGTGCAAGAAGAGAAAGCAAGGACTCAGAGGCACTGTGATTGGTTCCAAGTTCTCCTAGTCTAGAGGGGAGGGGAACCTGAGTACCCCTAAGTCCTAACCGAGGGGTTAGCCCACCTCAGCTCTTCTGCTTCCTAAGGAAGTCCAGTCAGAGAATCGGCCAGCCTGGGATTAGCCCTGAACAATTTCCCAGGCACCCTCCTAGGGAATGGTAGCTCTCTAATTGGAAGGAACCAAAAGCCAGGCTCTGTGAGCCAACACTTCCCAGACACAGGCAGAGGGGGAGACACTGACTTTCAGACCCCAGGATTGTTGCCCAGGCCCCTGAAACTCACTTAGCTGACTCTGAAGGTGTAGGTTATTTACTAATATTAAATATCAAATATTCACATTTTTTAAACAACTTAGGTGTCATGTATTAATATCTCAGAGTCATCTTCAATAAAGGCCTTCAATAAATAAAAGTTCTTTTGCATATTTGGAAATATTTAGCAGACTAGCATTACACCTGTTGAATGTGTGAATATACATAATCCCTGAGGTTTGATTACATCATTCACTCTTTCCACCACATTCTATTCCCCATAAGGGCCATATTTGGTAAAATCTTAAGTGATCATTTCCCCTACAAGCAACTTCAGACTTCATGCCTAATTAGAATGAAATTAGTGCTTTGAACAGGTATTCTATCCAAAATTAAATTACTGGATATAAAGCTATTCTTATATAATCCATAATATATATCCTTATTAGTAGGATTCAAAAAACAGTAGCCCAAGTCACAACATTTGTATTTTAAAATCCACTACAAGTATGAGAAAATTTGTGTATTGTATGGAGAGTAAATGCCTTTTTAGTAATCAAAGGTCGTGCACCCTTGGAAAAGGTAAACTGCAGGTCCTACTCGGGTAACTACATTCTCTGCTGGTCTAACTCTCCTTCTAGGGTTCTGTGCCCCACACAAGGCTCTCCCCTGCTCTGGCTTTGAAACTCTGGACTTCAGTGTCCACTGGAGGACTGTCCCTTCTTTCTCTGAACAGCCCGATTCCCAGTCCTGGGCAGAATTATTCTTATGATAAGACTTGATTCTTTATACATGTGTCTGCCACCCAGAGCTGAGAGCAACTTCCTGGGAGCTGTACCTAAGGGCGATGGCAGCTTATTACCCGTCTATCTAAGGTTCAAGCCTGGATGGCTTTTAATTTTTTGATGCGTAATGTAGAGAAAAATGCAATTGCTTTTGATCGATCTTGCCGAACTCCATAAAGCATGTACTTCTTTTATTGTTCAATGGGTTATGGAGGCTAGCAGCGCAAGGCTCTCTATCCAGAGGGGCCAGTGCCATGGAAAGAGTGGGCAGGGGCCATGTTCTGATCTTCAGCCACCAGCTCTGTTATTATCTGGTTAACATTTCCCAAGTTACTTACAGTCTCTGAGTCCTAGTTTCCTCATCCTTCAAAAGGTACTAAACACATGGTTGTTATAAAGAGCACATGAAATTCTGCATCTCACATGCATTTACATATGTAGGTATTATGATTACTTGCAAAATACAAATTTATTCTTTTAAAGGTGTATGTTATACTGCATTACACTCTGTCAGAGCAACACTTTACTAACATTATGGCAAAGATGGTCTATAAAGGAGAAGTGTGCCCCAACTATCTTATAAACAGAATATTAATAGAGCTATAGTGAAACCTTTAACAAAAAGTACAAGGTCTTAAGAAAACGCAAGGCAATGCTCCCTGTTCCAAATTTTGGTCTATGTTAAATTGTCAGTGAAAGCTGATTAGGTTTCCACAGATGTCTGAGCTAGCAAGAAGCACAATTACACCTCCACTGACAAACGTTTCTACTCCCTCTATAAATCAACATCATCTCCTCCCGGCCCCCTCCAAGATTCAGCAGCTGTCATAAGATTGCCAGGCAGAGTAATGATTCAGGACCCACAGACCACACTGTCTTGTTGAACTGCTCCCAAGCTCCCTGGCTCCAGGACCGATAAATCATTGCTTTACAAGTCATCTGGAATGCAAGGTGCAGCCCCAAGTCAAGAGTCAAGGTTCTACGGTACTGTTAGAAGTATTTGTTATGAGAGGTGGTTGTTGTTGTTTTTTTAATTTTTTGTCACAGAATAACCTTTCTCCTGATCTTTTCAATGATTTCCTTTCTGCATGTTGTTCATTCTCTGAATATTTAATAATCCCAGTTCAGTGTTCAAATACCACTGTGGGTTTTTATTTCCTTCTCTTGATTTGAAGCTCTTCCAGAACCCCTGCCATTCTTTAAAATACAGAACACTCAGGATTCTTTCTGGTGTGACTTCTCACTCATTCTACCCCACTTCCCATGGAGATTACACACTCGGCAAAGAGTAGGCCTGTTTTCGGTGTCCCTAGCAGATGGAGACAAAGTTATTCTCCACTTTTGTTCCAAGAAACAAGGCAATGTTGTGTTACCAAGTCTTTGCTTTTTCTTACTGAGTAATTGGAATGATAATAATCACACCAGCCTCTCCCCTGCTTTGTCGGAGTGTTACCATTCTCTCACAATCTTTGTCTCTCTTGGGAGAATGAACTCTGAAATGTGCCTCATGCTGCCAGAAAGACAGTGGATGAAGGATAAGGAGTTTAGGGTTTTAAGCAGCACCCAAGACTCCAGAAGCTATAAGGTTTGCTGATGAAACTGAGAACTCAACAAGCTTCTCTGTGTCTTATTAACTTCTGCTGAAGTATTTAACACCCACTTTGTTAGCAGCACCTCTTCCGGTTCTCTCAACACTCCTGTCTTAACGTTCGTGAGAAGTATGTGAGCTGGAAACTGAGAACTGTTGTTATAAATTAAAGAGTATGGCTTGTTTTTCATCTTAAGGCTAGAAAGAGAGACAATACAAAACAAAACAAAACAAATTCTGCATTCCCATTCCTCCAGGATGAATTCTCTGCCATGGGAACAATGCATTCTTTGCTGGGCAAACTAACTTCAAACGTCAAATGATTTCAAGTGTAAGAATTTGTACAAACAGGAATCTTTGTATGAACACCATAATGTAACTGCTACAGGGCAGTCAAAATCCCTGATGAATGCTTAAATTAATGGGTAAAATTTTAAGGAGAAACTGAATAGTAGTATAGACTCAAAGTATCTCCCCCTAAATAAATTACTGGAGTTGTTTCCACATAAGCCTGCAAATTACTCGATTCTCCTTTCTTCAGAAGGTGGGACTTCATTCCCCTCCCTTTGAGTGTGAGCTCACCTTAGCCACTTGCCTCTACTGAACAGAATGTGGAAAGGAAAACAATTGTGAGGTTTAACAGAGCAAAATCTGGTAGACACCACCTTCACTAAGTGATCAAGGTTAACATCACTGCAATAAGATACATCAGCATTTTGTATCCCTTAATATAATGAGATGGGAAAGGCACAGGACCTCCGTGGTACACATAGGTTATCCCAAATCCTTGAGTTCAGAAATCATAAACCCAAATTGAGCGACATTGTACAAAACAGAGAATCACCACTTCTCGGAAGTGTCGAGTCTCCCTTGGCTGCTCCCCATGTGTTGATTCTGATTCTCTGTGGGCAATCCAATATCCTCTCCATAATTTCGTTACTTGCAGGCCTTCTTCCGACACTGGTGATAAAAGATATTGACTAGTAATAATAATAGCTCACATTTGTATAGCACTCATTATTTGCCAAACACTGTTCTAAGTGCTTTGCTATACACATTACCCTCTTTAATAGCAGTAAAATAGACACATAGACACATGGATTTCTGTGCTGGCAGAGGGAAGCTGTGTCGTAGAATAATTTATTTTAATAAGAAAAAATACTGAAGTGTGGACGGAAGCCTGTTTTTCAGGCCCAGAGATCCAAAAGGCACTTTTCTCTCAGAGCAAGAAATTGGAAGCAACCTGAAACGTCTGAGAATAGGGAGAAAACAGGGAAGTTACAGTACAACCACTCAAGAGACTGGTATGCAACCATTTAAAACAGTAGTTAGCAAAACTGAGCTGTAGAATGAGAAAAGCTTCTGATCGCAACAGTGTAAAAATCTGAAACCAAATGGTCAAGAAGTAGAAAGGATTATAGAAATTCAGAGCTGTTTTGTCAGGGAGGTTGATTCTAGGTGGGGGTTTCCCACTCCATTTCCAAACTCGAACCTTGTTATATTGTATCTATGGTTTTAAAACGAAACACACTTCCCCTCACTGTTATCCCAGTGTTCCAGGGTGACCCTTCTCCAAGGGTGGGAAAGTCCCTATAATCGTCCCCTTAGCAGCCACTTAAGATAATGAATTTCACGGCCACTTTGAAGTCTATGCTGGCGGGGCAGATATCCACCACAATGTTGAACTGAAGTTTTCGGTGCCAAATCCCAAAATGAACCAACGTTTTAATCTGTTGTACGGTTAAAACCTTTCTGGGTTTGTGAGCTGCCGCGGCCCTGATGGGCTCGTTCTTGCTGTACACGGTTCTCTGCTTCACACAGGGAGCGGGGCTGTCAGCTTCAGCTCGTGAGTATTTGTCAAAACGGGACATCAGGCCTTTGGTTCACCCTTTTGTCTTCTGTGCAGGCTCCTTCCCAGGGGTCTCCTGTGCCCTCAATCGATGCCCTCGTCCACTCTCCCGACCCTCACTCCTATCTCTCCACTTCCCAGGCTCCAAACCCACCTTCCCTGTGAAAACTTCCCCATTCCCTAAGGAATTCTCCCCAAGACACCAAAAAGTTATATTAATTGAACTACTAATAAAATGAAAATAAAAATTGCAATTTTTGCAGGTCAAAAGTGATCTGACATCAACAGTTTCATATGGTTCAGCCTAACTGATAGCAGGCTGCCCCGCCCACAGCCTGCAACATGGGCAGCAGCCAGCAGGTTGCACTTCAAGACCCCTACGGTCACTTACACTGCCCAGCGGAGTTTGCAGGACTCCGTGGGTCTTCCTTGACATGGCTTTTGACAGCTGGGCCCCACATCTCCACAGGTGATACCTTTTTAATACATTCCAGATACATTGCACCTAGTTAACACATTTCTAGAAAGGAACTTCGGGGTTCCTTCTAACCAAGACACTACTAATTTAGCAGGATAATCTTATTAAATAAGAACTACTCATTCATAGTTCTGCCTAAGCAAACATCCTGATTATCTTTCAGAATGAAAAAGTGTGTGGGCCCCCTGACTTAGCAATTCCACTCCTTGGTAATTTGTCTAACAGAGATACCCATGCTCATGCAAAATAATGTGTATTTAAGAACATTCATTGTTACTTCGGTTTGTAATAGCAAAAAAAATGTATTTTAACTGATTAAATAAATTTGGCACATCAATACAGTGGATTAAATAATGGGTCTCCAAGATGCAACAGTAAGTGAGAAAACTAAGACAGTGTTATGGTATGTTTCCAGTTCCATGAGGACGTGGTACAGAGAGGCTATGTGTCTGCACATCCACCATTGTATGAGTACACAGAGTGTTCTCGGGGAATTGGGTGGGACAGGGGAGGGGAGGAGGCGGTCTTTCAATATATGCCATTTAGTACAACATAAATTTTCTACCATGTGCATGGATTGCTTATTCAAAAATAAAAGTAAAACTTTTATTGCACGAAGATTTTCTTTCAATGAATAAGATTGAGAATTAAAAGCACAGCTTTGCTTTGATGTTGGCCTAAGGAGGAGTCATTCACTGACCCCTCCCCCCCCCCACACACACACACCCTGCCCTGTGGAGTTGGGGTGGCCATGCCTCACAGTCACCGGGCTCATTCCGACCCTCCTGAGAGGAAGCTGAAACATTTAGGCAAAAGATGACACCTCTCCTGGCATGGAACTCTCAGTCTGCTCTAAAACTTCCTCAGTTTGCTCTTTCAAGCCTGGGGTGGGGAGAGGAAGGCCGCAATTTCTGGAGGAGGCAGGGCATATCAAGCAAACTAAGCACAGATATGCAAAGATATATACATCTCTTATCCTCTGTAAAGCACAAAGAACACTGGCCCACAATGAATGTCCCCCAAGTTTTACACAGTGATTTTTGCCTTGTAGAAAATTAAAATCATCAAGATCCTTGCAAGTAGAGCATTTTTTTTAAAGTAGGCAACATATCTCTCATCATTTTGAAAGTAACTGGAACCCAAGTAAATAAGGATATCCTATTTAAACACTATTATCAATTAAATACTATAAATCAAGCACACCAAAATCTGAAATAATGTTTTCTATGGTTGTCTTACTTTTCTTGGGCTCCTTGTATTTAACCTCCAATTGTCAAGTAAGGCTAATTCTAGGATAACCCCTTAGGCAAAGGACTACATTTGATCTTCAGGCAAATTTTAGACATGATGTCTTCTGAGAGTGAGGAAAAAGAAACCCAATGACAGAAAAAGACAACCTCTCCAATTAGGATTGTGTTTCAGCAGGTCTGAGGCTATAACCACCCAAGGATCACCCTCAGAATGACCCCAGTCTTAAGTGGCCTGGGCAATTCATGAAACTTGGGAGAAACAAAGAAAACCAAGTGTATGTCATACCTAGATACTTTCACTGGGGTCTTCTTTCCCTTCCTTTTGGAAAATATGGAAGCAAACAGCAGTTGAATATCATCAAAGCCCCTGGCAGAGTAACTGCCAGGCAGATCCTTCCGCTTCCTCCATCAGAGGTGCCCTCTGCCCCACTTTGCCACCTACCCGCGAGTCCCCTTCAGTCAAAGCTCTGGTATCATCCCTGACGCAGGCGTCACTTCCCCTTCAAAGTGAATGTTCCACTTTTTAAAGGAAATGCAAAATAACAATGGATTACATTTAATTTAAGTAACAACAAAATTTAAAAACTAATGGGGAAAATATATGCAACACATATGTGACAAATGTTTATTTTTCTTAACATAAAAATACCCCAACTTTCCTTAATGAGCAAAGAACACGAACTGGCCATTACATACAGGGTGGGGCGAAAGTGGGTTTACACTTGTGCATATGGAAACATAGTACAATAACTAACAAACAATAATATAGCAGTAAACTCTGTTTCACTCACTCACAACTGTAAACCTAATTTTCCCTCCACCTGGTATATGATAGTGGGTCAGGCTTCATTACCAAAAGTTGTTGATTAAAACCGGTGTCATTGCACTTACTACGTTAGCAAAGATAACATCCATGGCACTGTTCAATGTCTCCACCATGGGCAGAAATAGACACTCTCATAATTCGCTTTCCAGTTGTAATCCTGCAGGGTAATTTCATTACCCATCTAAAGGGTGATGGGGCAATTGTGTCAAAAACTTTAAAAAGTAAAAGATTCCTCAGTTCACTAATTTTAGTTTCTGGAATGTAAATATCACTTGCTTGAGAATATATAAAGGGGTGTGTAAAGTTAGCTGTAAGGATGGTCATTAAAATATCATTTGTAATTGCAAAGAGAATTGAAAAGATCCTAACTGCCCACCATTAGAAAACTGGTGGAGTAACTTGTGATGCAGTTGTAGAATAACATTTTTATCAATCATATAAGGAACATACATGAGAAAATGGAACGCACATGCCTTCGAGTGGGCTGAAAGCAGTGTACACGAGTCTGGTCCCTGTGAATGCAGAGTATTGCTAGAAATGTGCCCCCAAAATGTTTCTGTTATTCTCCTTGAGTCGCGGGATGTCATGTGTTATTTTTAAAACTGTCTTCATTGTATTTTTCTGCATTGTGTGATTTGTTTTTATTGTGAATGTGCCCATTTTATAAAAACAGAAAAGCTCTTTTTTTTAAAAAAAGTAAGGGAATAAGTGAATCTCCTTTGAAAATCATCTACTATATATATGAAAGACTTACTTTTTCTTGGTGCCTTTTAGGACCCATTCAAATGAATTATACATTATTTCTGCTGCTTGAAGTCTCCTGAGTAAAGTCATAGATGTTCTCTTCCCAAAAGACTTGGTCCAGAAAGACTCAGTCCAGTTTTGGCTTAAGAAACGAAGTCTGTGAAGTGGTCCTAAACACGAAAGCAGGTATCATTGCTCCCACAAATTATTGGCGCTTTAAAAGTCCTGAACTTCAGCAGTGGAGCATGGCTTCCTCTGCCTTTGCACTTTTTTTTTACCTTCACAGGAGGACATGCTTATGGATTTTAGAGAGGGAAAGGCAGGGAGACAGAGAAGGAGAGAGACATCTACTGGTTTCCTATGTGCCCCGACTGGGGACCCAACCCGAACCTAGGCATGTGTCTCCCCAGGAATCAAACACGCTACCTTTCAGTTTATGGGAAATGTTCCAATTAACTGAGCCACACCGGCCAGGGCTGCACTCCATTTTTATTCAGAGGACAGGGCAGTGGAGTCAGAGCCTTGTAACGGAAGCATCTGTGTGTCCTACACGTTTGGAATGCAGGCCTGTGGACCTTCTAAGTTTGGGGTCCAAATAAACCTTTGAGATGACAACAGGGCTTTGATTTGGTGATTACAATTAAAGATCAAGGTGAGCACCTGGAGTCTGAAGACTTTCTCTAATGGAAATGAATAAATATTTGGCACTAATACCTACATCCTGCTAGAATACAAATAGAACATATTATCAGCCATCAGAATATGTTGTCTCTTGAGTAGCAGTGGACTGAAGAGCAGAATTTAAATCAAAGC